GACAATATTCCCTTACAAGGATATAGCATATTTTGCTAACCCATTCATCAGTTGGTGAGCATTTGGGTTGTTTCCACTTTTTGGCTATTATGAATAATGTTGCTATGAACATCGGTGGGCAAGGTTTTATGTGGACATACGTCTTCAATTATGTTAGGTATATTTATCTAGGAGTAGAATCATTGGGTCATATGATAACTCTATATTTAACACTTTGAGGAACCGTCAGACTATTTTCCAAAGTGGCTGCACCACTTTACATTGCCATCAGCCATGTATGGGGGTTCCAAGTTCTAGACATTCTCATCAACACTTATGATCTTCTGTCTTTTTGATTAGAGCCATCTTAGTGTGTATGAAGTGCTGTTGACTTGCATTTCCTTGATTCGTAATGATGTTGAGCATCTTTTCATTTGTTTATTGTCCATTTTGCATAACTATGGAGAAATGTCTATTCATACCTTTCGCCCACTTTTTAATTGGATTCTCTCTCTTATCATTGTATTACAAGGGTTCTTTATATATCATGGATACAACTACCTTATCAGATATACACTTTGAAAGCATTTTCTCCCAGTCTGTGGGTCGTCTTTTCACTTTCTTGATGATGTTCTTTCAAGCACAAAAGTTTTTTGTTTTGATGAAGCCCAATTTACCTTTTTGTTTTTTTTGGCGACTTGTGCTTTTGGTGTACATAGGTACAAAACCATTGCCAAGGCCATGAAGATTTATGCCTGTGTTTTCTTCTAAGGGTTTTATAGTTTTAACTTTTACATTTAGGTCTTTGATCCACTTTGATTCAATTTTTGTGTACGGTGCGAGAGGTTCATCTCCATTCTTTCCAAGTGGATTGTCCCAGCACTGTTTGTTGAGAAACTAATATTTCCCATTGAATTGTCTTGGCACCTTTGTTGGAGATCAATTGACTGTAAATATTTAGGTTTATTTATAAATTCTCAATTATATTGTTTGTTGTATATGTCTATTCTTGTGCCAATATCACATTGTTTTGATTATTGTAGCTTTGTAATCAGGAAGCATGAGCCCTTCAACTTTGTTCTTTTTTTCAAGACTTTTGACCAATCAGGGTCCCTTGAATTTCCATATGATTATTAGAATCAGCTTCTCAATTTCTGAAAAGAAGCCAGTTGGAATTTAAGGGGGATTGCTTTGAATCTGTAGATCAACTGGGGAGTAGTGCCTTCTGAACAATATCAAATCTTCTGTTCCATGAACATGGGATGTCTTTCCACTTATTCAGGTCTTTTTTTTTTTTTTTAAACAATTTATCTTCCTCCTCGAAATCTTTTTCTTTCTCTTAAACATTGGCACCTGAGCTAACAACTGTTGCCAATCTTTTTTTTTTTTTTCCTACTTTATCTCCCCAAACTCCCCCATACATAGTTGTGTATCTTAGTTGTGGGTCCTTCCAGTTGTGGCATGTGGGATGCCGCCTCAACGTGACCTGATGAGCAGTGCCATGTCCACGCCCAGGATCCGAACCCTGGGCCGCCGCAGCTGAGCATGCGAACTTAACCACTCGGCCACAGGGCCGGCCCCTATTCAGGTCTTAATGTCTTTCAACTGACCTTTAGTTATTTAGACATGGTTTCCTTTAGTTCTTCGAACATATTTATAATAGCTGACTTATTTATAACTTTTGGTTTTTTGGTGTTTTTAAATTTTACAGGTTTTTATTTATTCATAAGTTTTGTCTATTAAAGCCACCTTCCCAGCTTCCTCAGGAAAAGTTTTTATTTACAGCTTTTCCATTCTGTGTATGGAACATGTTTTCCTGTTTTTCTCTGCGTGTCTTGCAATTTTCTTTTTTAAACTGGACATTTTAAATCATATAACGTGGCAACTCTGGAAACCAGTTTTCCCTAATATCCCCCTTTCCCAAGACTTGTTTTATTGTTGCTGCTGCCACCATTCATTTGCTTAGTGACTTTCATGGACTAATTCTGTAAAGTCTGTGTTTTTTATTGTGTGTGGCCACTGAAGTTTCTGTTCAGCCAGCTTAACGGTCAGCTAATGATTGTGCAGAGATTTCCTGAAATGCTTTGAACCAATACGTCTCCCCAGTTTTGCAAACAGTCTCTGTATGTGTGTTCAGGCATGCCTTCAATGCTCCACAGATTAAAATTCTGCCCCAGCCTTCACTTCCTGCTTACATAGAGCTTCAAGATCAGCCAGGGATGAGAAATTTGGACCTTCTCTCGTCTCTCCTGGGGATGTGTACAGCCTTGTACATACACATGGTTTTCTAGATTTCCAGGAATATGTTGAAGCCTTTCAAAGCCCCTGCTGACACCTCATTCTCTAAATTTTTCTTTTGAGTTTTTCATCAGCCAACTGATATTGCTGGCTCAGGAAGCTGTGGTGTTAAACAATTGCCATTGATTATTTTCAACAAACTGGAGATACGTTAGCACTAAGGTAGTTTTCGAGTCACATCAAATAAAGGCAAGTCTGTGAATGGTGCCTTTCTAGGGAGCTGCCTGACAGGTCAAAGTGAGTGTTCTCTGAGGATGTAGCTTTTAGGGGGGCTCCAAATCTGTTCTGTCCCCTCCAGTGGCTGCTAGGGTGCTCATTTTTCACAGCTATTATGGTTGCGAGGCTGCTGTTTTTCAAGGCTACCGTGGAGATGGGGAGAGAAGAACGAGAATACAGCAAGTGAAAATGCTACACAGCTCACAGTACTTACTGAGATTCAGCCATTTCTCTTTCGTAAATGCTCCCTGTGTTGTTGCAAGACTTTGGCTAATTTACAGGCTTCTAAAGAAGTTGCTTTTGACACTTTTCCCCAGTTTTCTAATTGCTCTCCTTTCAGGAAATGTTTCTCCTTATTACCTTCGTTTTTAATATAATTTATTTAATTGTAAGTTTATATAAGTCAATTTTCCCCAGTGGCAGTGTCTAACAACTGGCATGAAAAATTCCTGAAGATTTAACAATTGGATTTCATGAGCTGGTAGCAGCTGGCTCCAGTATACCACTGACGGGATCCTCACACATGCATCCATTTGATCCAGCTCAGCCCTGTAAACATTTAGGGTACCCACTGGGTGCCAGACCCCCAGAGATGCATGCTCATCCAGTAGTAAACTGACTTCATATCCCTCAACATCCAGCCCTCAGCCAGAGCTTGCTGGCAGGACAGATAATCCCAAGTGGGTTGTCCAGGTGATGGCTTGGCATGGAAAAAAATTGGAAAAGGCTGAGCACAGGTGAGAACAGCTATTGGAATACTGAAAGATACTACTTCAAATCTTAAGGCTCTAATCCCAAATTGTGCCAAAGGCTGTTTTCTGATTCCTAGGTGAAACTAAACAAAGTAAACAAGTTTCCTTCTGTTTTATGAATTCTCTAACTAGAAGTCTTCCAGGGAAGCACTGGGCAAAGGTGTGAGTGGTGAGGTGGGTGGTAGTGTCAAGGTTTCCATTAGACACCCTCTGAGGAATGTGTACCTTAACCTCTGTTCCGTGAAGTGGAAAAAAAAAAGTTTTTTTAAACTTTTGGGCTTGCTCAAATAAGAATGAAACCAGCTTTGGGACTGTGGCCTGACGTGTTGTTGTTGGGGTGCACTTTAATTATGATTAATAACCACAAGGATTATGAGGCAGGGCTGCAGACAAACGCAGTGACTCTTCCCAGTATACAACACGAGCATTCCCTGGCTTCCTCAAACTCGGAGTCCCGAGCTTCCTGATAGAAGCAGAAGCACAACAAAGTGATTATGTCTCTTTGCTAGACCTTTGCCTTCCTTCCCTTTCCCACACAGAGATCAGCAGATAGCCTGAACGCCTTAACTCAGCATTTCACATTCCAGCTATGCATCTACTTAGGTGTTTACTGGCTTGCCTTGATCATTCAACAAACATTCCCTGGGCATCATCTGCGTGTCCAGCGCTGAGTTAGCCCTGCAGAGAGCTGGCATATAGGACGGACATTTGAGGAGTCTGGAGAAGTGGGGAGGCTCCCCTGCTGCCAGTTGGTAGAGCCCCATCTGATAAGATTCTGATCAGTTCCTCTCATGCCCAAACCGGACTACAACTGCATTCTCCAGATAAAGCTCAGCATTTTCCCAGCCTCCAGGCCTCTGATCACTATGTTACTCCAGCAGGTATCATTACCAGCTGCCCATAGCCTTCTGCAGGGCTGTGGTCTCTCCTCACCTGTCGGCTGGCCCTTGTCTCTGGTAGGGAGAGGTCAGCACCTGGGAGCTGCTCCTCCCTGACACCCAGGACCAGGCCCAGGACCCGTTCCTGTAGAGAACGCCCATCGGAGCCAGGCCCTGCGTCAACCCCCTGGGACTCTCAGCTGACAGGGGAACAGTTCCGTCCTCGGGGAGGCTTACAGACACAGAACAATAAAACATGGCAGCTGGGATAGCAGTGTATCCAGGGCCTGGGTGTGGCACTAGGAGATGCTAGTCATTTCTCCTGGGATTGGGAGGGGCCTTCTTAGATGACGTCATCCTTCAGGTGAGTCTTGACCTAGGAAAGGGAGTATGCCAGGTGGCCAAGAGACGACAGGAAGGGCACTCTTGGCCAAGGAAACAGCTTGAGCTCAGGAGCTGAGTCCATGGGTGCGAGGGGAGAGGCATTCTATTCTTGCTAAACTGAAATAAGCCCAAAGCTCCTTGATGGCTGGTAGGATGTGTTAGGTCAACCTAAGGAGAGGAGCCTAAAACGCCTAGGACAAGTAAAAAAGGCACTCGACAACACAGTCCTATTTTTACACGTTTTAAAATACCGAGAAAAAAAAATCCAGGATGGATTCTGGATGCTTTTTACTGTCTTCTTTATACTTCTCTGTATTTTTGAATTTAAAATAATTGTCGGCATTACCTGCTGTCCACGCACTCCCCGGTCTGCAGGGGGCGCACCGGCGGCCACCTTCCCTCCGCCAGGACGATGGGTGGGGCCTCGCCGGCCAGTGTGGGACTGACGATTGGCCGGCTGGGCTGTCTATCACGGCGTCCCGCCCCCGCCCTACGTCACATGACGCAGCCCATCATGGCGGCGGGAGCGCGGCTGCCCGGGCCCGCGGCTCCGCAGGGCTGCTGCTGTTGCTGCTGTTGAGAGGCGGCGGCGGCGGCGGCGGCGCAGGCAGCGGGCAGGCGGGAAGGATGATGTTTCTGTGGCCGGAGCGGCGGGTGCGGATCAGGAGCCGGGCTGAGGTTTGGCCGAAGCGACGTGTGCTCAGGAGCAGCCGGCGCGGGTGCCGCTGAGGCGGCTGAGGGAGGCAGGACCGACTGACGGGCGGACGGACGGACGGACGGAAGGCGACCGAGAAGAGCCGGCCCCGGGGCCGCGCCGTGGGCGAGATGCCGGGGCCGCCGGCGTCGCTCCTGCTGCTGCTGCTGCTCCTGGCCGCCGGCGGGGCCGGCGCCGCGCCACTTCCGCAAACAGGTGCAGGTGAGCGGGCCGGCGGCGGGGACGGGGCTGCGGAGGCGCTGCGACGGGGGCGGCCTCGGGAGGAGTCGGGCCTCGGCGCCGAGGCATCGGAGGGCCTGCCGGGGCGGGAGGCCCGGGGAAGCGAGCGAGGAAGCGATTAGGGAGGTTTCTGCCGCAGGGGCGTGGGGAGCGGGGGGCGGGCTGCCTCTCGAGGGCCGAAGCGGGGGCGAGGCGAGGAGGTTGGGGATGGGGAGGGCGGCGAGCGGGGTGGCACGACCGACCCCTCCCGGGCCAGGCTGCAGTCCCGGCTCTGGACCTGTTGCCCGAAGGTCCTCAGCCTCCATCCCTTCCTGGCAGTTCTGCTTCCCTTTCCAGATGTCACCTGCCTCCTGTGCGTTTCTCACATCTTATAATAAGCACCGTTTCTTAGCCCTAATCACACTCGAAGGCAAATGACTCGGAGTGCTGTGCGGAGTTTCCTTCGCTCCCTGCAACTTGTTCTGAAGTTGTAGATTGATTTTAGACGATGTGCTTTTTATTCGGATTGAATCTCTGGGGATGAGAAGGAAATAACTCTATAAATATTTCTATTTTGGGAAGCCCGTGATTAGAGCAGCAGCCTTTGAATAACTATTGACAAAATGGCCCGACGGTGATTGAAGTTTCTATTTTAGCTACATCAGTGTGTGATTTTCTTTTTTTTGCTCCCCGTTTTCTCGACGTCGTCTTCATTTGTGGTTTATTTTCCTAGATAAAACTTCAACCCCGGAAAGCATCCCAAGTTGGGTCATTATATTTAAAGGGAAAAAAAAATCTAGGCTAATTTGCCATTATCATCTGCTGCTTATCTTTGAAATGAGGGGAGACTGAAATTTCATAGATTCAGGGAATTTCCGAGTTGGAAGAGATTTTAAAGAATATTTAGTCTAATTTCTTCGTTTTGCAGTTCAAGAGTCTAAGGCCCTGGGGGTCAAATGATCTACCCAGGGTGACACAGCTAACTTGTAGGTGGAACCACAACTAAACCCCAGGTCTTAGATTCCCCTAGTTGTGTGATTTTTCCACTTCACCACTTCATCTTGTAACTGTTTAGGAATACTCGTGAGGTCAAGAGTTATTTTAGAATGATGTTAATTGCATACAGAATGTGGAAGTTACTATCCCCAGTAAAGACACATTTTGCAAACACATCTACAATGAAAACTATATATATTTGTTTCCAGGGTTACACCAGATTATGTCGCTGAGTACTCTTTAGTTGAGTATTAACTGTTATCATTGTACTGTATAATGTATCACTAAATTTCTGCCACTGCCTTTGATAAAATATTTGTAAGGTGAATTCTGTTTTCTGAGTTGATAAGAAGAGTGAATATTATTAGAAGTGTATAGGCAGACTGAGTAAGAGTCACAGAAAGTATCGAGGAAGTTATAAAAGACTGTATGAGAAGATATTGATATTGATGTTGAAAGATACTGGTGGTGAAATTGAAAATTAGCACTAGAGAAGGATAGTGGATAAAGAGTATCTGTGTGAAACAGATTCAAGAAGTTTCCAGATGACTTTGCACTTACTCGAATTTTTATATATTTTCAAAAACAGATTCTTTGTGGGACCCTGTGGAGATGTGTCTGGCTGTAAACCTCTTAACATGTTTTTAATTCCATTCTTTTGCTATTTTATGGAGATATGAATCATAAAATCTAAATTTTTTTTCGGTGTGTTGTAAAACAAAGCAATCAGGAAAATTAATCCATAAATAGAAATGTCAAATTGTGACATACATAAAGCATAAGGAAAGATTTGGTAATTTATAGCAGCTTTTGCAGATTTCCCCTTCATGTTCTGTTACTGGAGAGTGTATGGTTAGACATGTAGCATATGTAGACAGGTACGTAGGATTAACTTCTGTGGAAAAGACCCACAGTCACATGTAGATTTGGGAGTTGGTCTTTCCATTCAAAAGAGATTATAAATCCTGGTAACTGAGGTATACTCATGACCAAGATGTATTAGACCAAGAAGAATAAAGACCTTTAAGCTAATCTTGATAAGTGAGCTCGCTGGTTAAGAAAGAGGAACCCTTCCTGACATGTATAGTAGATAAAAGAGCAGTTAAACGTCAAACACTTAGTAGCGCTCAAGCTTTTGATTATCTGGGGGCCTGTGCTCCATACCAAGGTAGGGCTGATCATTTTCAAATTAAGGCCAGACCCAATGCATAGGGTCTTTTGCCTCCTTGGCCGCCTTCTTCAAGTTCAAACTACTTCAAGTTCAAACTGGTTAAGAGTCCCTTGGAGAAAGCATGGCTTATCAAAAATAGATTGGAAAAAAATACTTGAATTTTATCCTTTGCCAGCCCATTTGCATGGGGAAACAAATGAGGCAGTTAACTAAAATCCAGCGTTTAGTTGAAGTTCATCTATCCAAGATTTCTTTGTCATCCAAAATCATTTCTAGGTTCAGAAGTTGGAAAAGATGTTTATCCGTTCTGTCATAATAAAGATTTGTAAATATGTGGATTGCCTTTGCCCATCAGGCAAGAAAGCGTTTCTTGGTTGAACTTTATTTTGGGCCTCTCTTTACCGCTCTGGGAGCTCCTTACCGCCCTCTCTGGGAGCCTCTTTTCCTGAGAATCTGTATTTCTTCAAGGGCCTTTGTTGTTACGTAGCCTGAGATCTCGGTCCTCACTAGGAAGCTTACATAAAGGGAGAAAGTGCACTGTTTGCACGCACACTTAAATTGCTGAACTAAGTTAAGAAATTCTTTTCTCCAGATCATGGTTATCAGATCATTCTTCTCTTGAAAAACACGTATGTGCCTCTTGTAAGATTATTGGGATTCGCACCGTAAGGGCAGATCTGGTGCTTGTCTGTGTGAGGGCATTCCTCTATGTCCACAGTTTGTGATTAATGTTAGGATAGTGGTTAGACAAGGAAACCCACTTCTATTGTTCTGTGGTATATTAGGTCACGGAGTACAGAGGAAGCTCTTTAGCAGTTCCAGATAAAGGACCTCACGGAAGTCTGAAGCCGGTGGGACTCAGCTACTGATTAAACAGCGGCTTGTGAAACCGAGCCTCTCGAGCCTCTCATTTTAGATTAAACAAACCGACTTGTATCTTGAAAGAGATTTCTGAAGTAAGGGAAGTGCTTTCTAAAGTGCGAGTTTTTGTGTTTAACAGCTTCGGAGAAAATAAAATTATTTTCAAAAGGCTTCCCATGCAAGTGATTTCAGGATTTGTGGCTGTAAGGCTTGAGATTTTGACCTAGGTCGGGAACGCTGTAATTGCTTTCAGTTGGAGATATTTTTGGGTTAACTAAATATGCTCATTTGCAGCGTCATAGGAAGTCTGTCCAGCAATTTTGTAGCTGATCAGCACTGAAGTTATCAAATCCCTACGTTTTTGCTGATATCAATGTGCTGACTGTTCATGCAGTTCTCTTGAAATTTCGAGAGTCCTTGCGCCTTCTGTGTCCCCTGTGGGCTGTGTCACTTAGATAACAGCGGTACATATAATAATAATTAAAAAAAGACTGTAATGTAAATAAGAGATGGCCAGGGGTCTGAAACCGTTAAATGAGTCCTCAAAAAAGGTGTTGCAGATGGACATATAAAAAGAATGTAACTTTTCAGCCTAGTTGAGAAGAGAGGCATGGACCAATCACGGGAGGGGCAGGTATTGTAGACAGATCTTGCACTTTGGAGTCAGCCTGGGCGTGAGGCCTTCCTCTGCCACTTCAATAGCTTTACAGCCTTGGGCCAGTTACTTGACCTCTTCAGGCATCTTAGAACTCACCTGTTAAAGAAGGACGTTAATAACATTTACCTAAGGGTTGTTAGGAGGTGAGGTAGTGTCATGGTGGTATGCCACGGCTGCTACAGTTTGGGCACTCGGCAACATAGAATTCTTCATTGCTTCCGATTTCTTGGTAAATTTGGTGGGTTATCATAGAATTGACTAAGGGTGGGTGGTATGGCTTCAAAGAAACAACTCAAAGTGGCAGCTGCTTGTCATGGAATGCATAGAACTTACTGGATTTAAAAAAATCTTTGTTACTCAAAATAACTTGTTATATTGGGTGAAGAAGAGATCCTTTAGAGAGAAATCTGGCTTGTTTAAGTATGATATGTAGGATGGTATTGTTACTTCTTGAAATTCATAATGTTGGGGAATTATACTGGAAATTTGAAAGATCTGGACTAGTCTGCTTTTATGTAATAAACCTGTTTTTAAACGTCAAGATGACTAAAGCTCTTGCACATGAACAATTGCTGGTTTTAATTTACTTAAAGGAATCACGAGCAACCTCAGTTGAGTTGATCCCAAACGAAATCGTATACTTGCTCAGGGCGTCCCTGAAGGCAGCCGGTGAATTGCTTTCTCTCTTTTAAAATCATGTATTTTTGCAGTCTCCTAGCTGTGCTTTATTCTTTTAAAATTTTTTATTTATTACTCAGACGCGAGGAGAGGAATATTATGGAAAGGGGAAGCTGGACAAACATTCATGGTGGTCTAAAAGACTGCTACACCTGGGGTCGTTTTTAGATTTGATTCTCAACTTTTCTGTGAATCTGCACATGAAGACACTGTCAGAGAAAGCTGCGGAAATATGGTAAAAATCAGTGTGTTGAAGCAAAATATTGGCGTGAAGTATTTTTAAATTACAGCAAGTGACTCATTTGGAACCATGCTTTGGCATTACGCTTATTTGCCACAAAGAACAGGCATATCAGAAAAATAACCTCAGTATTTCAAAAAAGTTTTTTTGCAAAGGTTAGCACAGTGCAGAGATCCCAGATTTCGTTTGACTTCACTGTGATTCAAGTGGGAAAGATGAGAACTCTTGACGCCAAACGGCTCAGGTGCCTGAAAGCACGACACGGTGAGCGCCTTTCATTCTCCCTGTCCATCTGGGTCTAGGCCGGTGCTCTGCCGTTTCTCCCGACTACGAAAGAGTGACATGCTACTCTTCTGCTTTCCCGGGGCTTTAGTGTGTTGGTGGTAAACTTAGATTTT